GCAGGCCAAGGGGCAGTTGTCACACTGTGTGGCACCATGGAACCAAGGAGGCCATTGCGACACTCAAGGGCCCCATGGAACTAAGGATCCATGGAACAGTGCAGGACCCCATGGAACCAAAGGTCCATTGTGACATTGCAGGGCCTCATGGAATCCTGGAGGCCGTGATGACACTTGGAGGCCTCGTTGAATCAAGGGGCTCTGCAGGGCCTCATGGAACCAAGGAGACTCTTCTGACATTGTGAGTCCCCATGGAACCAAGGGTCCATTGTGACACAGTGGCACCAAGGAGACCCCTGTGACACTGCCAGACCTCATGGAAGCAAGGGACCATTGTGACACTGGAGCCCCATGGAAACAAGAGGCCAGTGTGACACATCTGGGCCTCATGGAAGCAAGGATCAAATATGACACCACCACTGGGACACTGCAGGGCCCCATGGAAACAAGAAAATAGGGAACAGGTTGTGTTGGTTTGGCCTGACTGGTCCAACTGCCCTTTACATGTCGATGGTCGCTTCCTATGTACTCCTGAAACTCTGGGGCTCTGGGCTTTCCTTCAAATGGGAAAGTACTGCTCTTCTCGTTCAAGCATCCATGGCCAAAATGGGATTCCCCCTCCAAAATTCCCAATATCCAGGGATTTCTCCCACATAAAAGCTGCCATTACAACACGTCTGGCTGACCTTGTCTTCCTGAGGGCTGGGTCTCACCTGCCTTCAGACACTGGGGCTCTGTGCTTTCCTTCCTATGGAAGAAATGAAATATCCCTCCTGCATCAGCACCCATGGCCAAAACTGGTACTTGTCCTCCAAAATTCCTGCATTCAAGGGTTTTTTCTCCCAGACAAGATCTCCCAGTACAGACAGGTCTGGCTGTCCTTGGCTTCACGTGGTTGCCTGATTTCTGCCCTGAAACACTGGGGCTCCGTGCTTTCCATCCTAAGGGAAAAGAACCATCCTTCACCAGGTGCCCATGGTTGAAATTGGGTTTCTACCACCAGAAGTCCGATATCCAATTATTGCCCCTACACAAAAGCTTCCATTACAGACAGGTCTGGCTGGCCTTGGTCTCTGCTGCCTGCACTTCATCAGCCCCTGAAGCACTGGGGTTCTGTGCTTTCCTTCCTATGGAAAAGAATCTTCTTATTCCTCCATGGCCAAAATTGCTACTCCTCCTAAAATATTCACTATATGAAGGGTTTCTCCCAGACAAAACCTGCCAGCTCTGGCTGGCGCTGTGGGCTCTGATGGCCACCTGTCATCTACCCCTGAAACACTGGGGCTTTCTGCCTTCCTTGTGATGGAAGTAGAACAGTCTCCTCGTCCAGGGGCTGTGGCCAAATTTGAGATTTGGCCCCTAAATTTCATATATCCAAGGATAGGTCCCAAGCAAAAGCTGCCAGGAGAGACAAGTTTGGCTGGCTTGGCCTCCCAGGGGCTGCTTCTCATCTACCATCAAACCCTGGGGCTCTCTGCTTTCCTTTAGATGGAAAAGAAACGGCCTTTTCATCAAGGGACCACTGGCCAAAACTTGTATTCTATCTCCCAAATTATGTGCATCCAAGGATTTCTCTCCGGCACAAGCTGCAATTCCAGAAAGGTCTGGCTCACCTTGGTCCTTGGTGGCTGCTGCTCATCTGCCCCTGAAACACTGCGCATCTGTTTTCCTTCCAATGGAAGAGAATCGTTGTGCACATCGAAGTGCCCATGGGCAAAACTGAAATTCGGCCTAAAAAATCCCATCTATCCAAGGATTGCTCCAAGGCAAAAGTAGCCAGGACACAAAGGTCTGACTGATCTTGTCCTGAGGTGATTTTCTTAGACTATGAGCAGAATGTTTTCATTTGCTAACACCTTGGAGAGGGTTGAGAGATCTCCCAAGATGGGGTTTGGAGGCCTCAAGCACATGAGCACAATATAGGGACAAAGGGGCTCTGTGCTCAGTGGGGTGGAGACTGAGGACAGCAGACGAGAGGCCAGGGAGGGACTGAAGGGTGGTTTCAGAGATGGTGGCTCCTTTTGACACAGTAGAGAACAGACAGAGAAAGAAGGAATTAATGCAAAGGACAGATAGGGAGGGTCAGACAGGACCCAAAGAGAAAGGAATTTCCCTCCCAGGGCAGGGCTGTGGTACAGCACATCCCCCAGAAGGAGCCTGGGTCAGCCCAATGCTTTGTGTGGGCAGGCAGGGGCAGGCAGGAGGCAGAGCTGTCAGCAAAGGAAGGGGCCAGCCAGGTGGGGCAGCCGGGGGATGCCGATAGCCTGCAGGGACAGAGGCGCAGGGCAGGGACACCGTAGCACAGCCTGGGCTGCACAGGGCACAGGCATGTGCAGCAGCTGCAAGACAGCCCTGCCAGAGCCAACTTGGGCAGCACTTTGGCCATGGCTGCTGGGCCTGGGCCTGAGGCAGGAGCAGGAGACAAGTGACCCTTGCAGGCCTGGGGCCTCATTGCTTCCTTGTCCCTGCTCAGCAGCCTGGCAGGGGCCGCCCCATGCTCCTGCCCTTGCCATTGCACATCCCCACATGCCAGTGCCCATCCCGGCAAGAGCCCTGAGCAAGGACGGAGGGACAGCATCTGCCTGGCCAGGGGCTGGGGCTCAGGCCTTGGCCCTTGGCATTCCTCAAACACATCCAGCTTTGCTCAGCACCAGAGACATCTTTGCCTTTTTTATCCCCAGCTGTCATCACTGCCTCCAGTGTTCTGCTCTAACTGGAACCTGGGGAAACTTTCTGAGTTGTGTTCCTCAGTGGGACCCATAACAACTTCAAGAAACTTCACACTTCCAATTTAAGTTTGCGTTCTTGAGAAGTTTTTGAACACTCTCTAAGGGACTGAGTCTGATGTAAACAACTCCAAAGCCCCAAGAGGGTCATTAAAGTCCTTGTGCTGTGTCTGTGCTGCTGGGTTGGGCTGGGCTCCTGGCCCAGAGGCAGCTCCTGGCAAACCAAGAAGAGCTTCATGAAGACATTTCTCCTGAGGAGCAGCTCCTCTCCCAGCCCAGCAGGCCTGGGGCACTGCCTGCAGCCACCCTGGGCACTGCAGAGAGGCAGAGAGAGCTTCAATCAGTCAGGGCTGGGAAGGTGCTGAGAAGTGCCGGGGCACAATCACTGCCAGCCCTTGAAACAGGAACCTCTGGCTGCAGGGCAATGCAGCTGCAGCTCCTGGAGCCATCTCATAAAGCTGGAACATCCCAATGCCTGCAGACTCTGTGAGTAAAACTCTGAATATTTCTGGTACAGGAGTGGGAGAAATGCTCATGAAGCTTTGACATGCTGAGGAATGCTGGTCAGTCATAAAATATTTCCAATACAAGGATTTCCTTAAAAATTAGGACATATACAAAGACTTTGTATTCAGTTTCCTAATATTGGAGAATGGCAGGCAGCGGGGGGGATTAACAATAAAGATTGATTATGAATTATAAATTAAGAAATTTTTAAAGTTTCTGAGACATTGGAACTGTTATTTTAGTGTTCCGTAGATTCACAGGAGATCCCTAATGTGCCTGCAGCCACTCTGCCCATGGACAGCACCAGCATCCCCTTTGCTGGAGCCATCAGGCTCAGTCTGAGCTGTCCTTTGTCCCATCTGCAATCAGAACCTGCCCCAGCCCATGCCCTGCAAACAGGCAGGGTTCTGTAGGGCCAAGGAGAGGGCACAGAGATTTGGGGTCTGTGAGTGCTGGCAGGGAGAGATCAGGCACAGGAAAACACCTGCAGGAGGGAAATCTCCAGGAAGCAGAGAGAAGATCAGGCAATGAGAGAAAACAAACCCCAGCAATGCTGTGGCAGGGAGAGTTTAGAGATGCCCACCGGATCCCCTCCAGTGCAGCCCCTCCCTCTGAACAAGCCCCCTCCCTCCTGTGCCCCAGCCCAGCCTCTGCCCTCAGGGCCGGGGCTCCAAGGCGTGCAGCCCCTCCTGTGCAGGCAGAGCTGCAGCAGAGCCGTGGGGCAGCTCTGCAGCCCCGGGCCCAGTTCCCTCTGCAGAGCACAGGGCTGGGAGCAGCTGCCCGGCCCTGGGGGCTCTGGAGGGGGCACAGCTGGCTCAGGGTGACGCTGTCCCCAGTGCCCGGCTCTGGGCAATGCTGTCAGGGCAGCCAGGGAAGGAGCTGCACCTCCCTCAATCCAATGCCATCAGAAGGACACCTGGAATATCCCTGAAATTTCAGTCCAAGCTTTGAGCTTCCCTCCAGGATACAAACCTGTCCTGTAGTATCTCTGTGTTATCTAAAAGCCCCACGGTGAGACACAGAAGGTCTGTGATGAGAAAATGCTGTTGGGTTGGTGAAATGAACTCTGTCTGTCTCTGGGTACAAACGTGGGGCTGAGACCTTGAGAAGGGGATGGACATTTGGTGGACTGTGGGGATCCATCTGCTCTCAGCAATGTCAGGATGGCTTTTAAAGGAAACATGGGAGGGTGATCATCCTCTGTCTGGGAAAGGTAAAAGCCCAGAGAATCCTGGAACAGGACAGGGTGACAGACCTCCTTCCCTTCCTCTCCACTCACCACCTTGCCTCAGAGAACTCACGGTTCTCCCTGAGGGCAGCAGAAATGCAAAGAGTTTCTGACATCCAAAAATAATCAGCAGGGGAGATGAAGAAAAGCTGTAAATAACACTAGTACATTTAAAGAGACTTTACCATTCCTGTTCTCTGGCAGTGGGAGGGCAGATACTGACAGGGCTTTCTGTGTTAACAGAGATTCAAAGAGGAACATGAGGACAGCTCCCTGTCCCTCTCCTATGTCTGCACAGCAAGGCTGAATTATAAAAACCTCTGTGTGTACCTGCCCTGAACCTGAAGTCCCAGTCAGGCAGCACCAGCCAGGGCTCCACACTTGGAGCTGAAGGAAAATCTGCTGGAAATTGAAAAGGGTGTCAGAGTATGACAGGAGAAGGGTCTGTGGGAAAAGGCTTTGATTTTGCTGGAAGAAGTTTCTCCCAACCGGTCACTGACTTTTCTCCATGAACAGTTCCCAATGGCCAGAGACAGCAAATGTCCAACAGCAGCTCCATCAGGCACTTCCTCCTGCTGGCATTGGCAGACACGCGGCAGCTGCAGCTCCTGCACTTCTGCCTCTTGCTGGGCATCTCCCTGGCTGCCCTCCTGGGCAACGGCCTCATCATCAGCGCCGTAGCCTGCGGCCACCACCTGCACACGCCCATGTTCTTCTTCCTGCTCAACCTGGCCCTCAGCGACCTGGGCTCCATCTGCACCACTGTCCCCAAAGCCATGCACAGTTCCCTCTGGGACACCAGGGACATCTCCTACTCAGCATGTGCTGCACAGCTCTTTTTGTTTGTCTTTTTCATTTCAGCAGGGTTTTTTCTCCTGACTATCATGTGCTATGACCGCTACATGTCCATCTGCAAACCCCTGCACTACGGGACCCTCCTGGGCAGCAGAGCTTGTGCCCACATGGCAGCAGCTGCCTGGGCCAGTGACTTTCTCAATGCTCTGCTGCACACAGCCAATACATTTTCCCTGCCCCTGTGCCATGGCAATGTCCTGGGCCAGTTCTTCTGTGAGGTGCCCCAGATCCTCAAGCTCTCCTGCTCACACTCCACCTTCAGAAAAATTTGGATTTCATTGGTTGCTGTCTATTTAGGTTTTGGCTGTTTTGTGTTCATGGTTTTCTCCTATGTGCAGATTTTGAGGGCTGTGCTGAGGATCCCCTCTGAGCAGGGACGGCACAAAGCCTTTTCCACCTGCTTCCCTCACCTGGCCATGGTCTCCCTGTTTCTCAGCACTGCCTTTTTTACCTACCTGAAACCCTCCTCCATTTCTTCCCTATCCCTGGATCTGTCAGTGTCAGTTATGTACTCGGTGGTGCCTCCAGCCCTGAACCCTCTCATCTACAGCCTGAGGAACCAGGTGCTCAAGGCTGCAGTGTGGAGAGTGATGACTGGAAAATTTAGAAAACATTAAACTGGTTGCCAATTTCAGCGTATCTCTTGTAATAAAAGTCATATTTGGCACATTTGTTGGATTGCTTCTTTTCCCATCTGTTTTGATTTTTTAATATTCACCCTAAACCAAGGCCATTGTTTCTGCCATTTCTAGTTTTGTTTCTCTCCACCTTCCCTGTGGCCCCAGACTGTGTCAACGGGACCTCTGTTCTGAATGGCTTCAAATGAAATAAGGGATCTCTCAGCATAATTTTCAAGGGAGATTCCCCTTATGTTGCCTTCTCTGGAGCTGCAGCAGCAATGTCTGTGTGTAGAGCTGGGGCAGATCAGGGCTGGCACAGCAGCTGTGCCCAGCAGCAGCAGCACTTGGTGTTGCCAGTGCTGCTGCCGTGGCCCTGCCCCGCTGCCCTGGTGGCCCTGGTGTTGCTGCAGGGCCTGAGTGCTCTCGGGGCCAGGCACAGCCCTGGGGGTGGCAGTGCCGGGGCTGCAGCAGGGACAGGCCATGGGCACTGCTGGGGCAGCGCTGACGCCTCAGCCCAGGGCCTGGGGGCTCCAGGCTCCTTGCCCAGGCTCTCTCAAGAACACGCCCAGGCCAATGCTCAGCACAGAAAAGCCCCGTGAGCAGCCCCAGGCTGGCCATGGGCAGGCTGGGGGCAAACAGCATGGCTGGGGCTCTGCAAGGGGCCTGGGGCAGACGGGAAGGAGCAGCAGAGCAGGGGCTGATCCATCCCCAGTGCGCTGCACAGCCCAGGGCAGCATCCCAGAGCGTCCTCATGGAGCTGCCAACAACATCCCCCCTCTGCAGCCCTTGCCTCTGCCCCAGCTCACACAGGTGCCCCATCCTTGCAGGCACAGACACGGCAGCACTGGCTCAGCAGCCCCTGTTTGCATTGCACAGAGCATGGGGAGCACCCCCATGCTGTTGGTGTGGGGACATGAACCTGAGGGAGCACAAATGCCATCAGCCCCTGGGGCCAGCAAGGCCTGGGGGAGACCAGGGAAACCATTCAGCTTTGTCGTGGCCTCTGCAGTCAGCCAGAAAGTTTGTTCCCGTGAGCTGGGAGTTTCCTGTCCCTCTGCAGACGCTGTTGCTCAGAGCCAGGGCTGCCTGGCAGCCACCCCCAAACTGCCCTGAGGATTTCCTTGTCTTCACCTTTGCTTTCTTTACTCTTCTCTGATCCAGATTTCTTCCTATTGCCCATCCCTTTCTCCCCCGCTGCAAGCAGCCCATCCCTGTTTGCCCTTTCTCTCTGGCCCCACTCCCCATTGCAGTTCCTGACTTGGCACCATGGGAATGTCCCTTGGGCAGCAGGATCATCCTGCAAGTGCTGCAGGAATTGTCTGCAGGCTCCTGCAGTGCCTCAAGCTGCTCCTTTGCCAGAGGCACCGCAGACCAGGGGGGCACATCTGGGCTGCTGTGTCTGGCTCTGGGGCTCCCTGTTCTGGGCAGTGAGGAGGAGCTGCAGAGGCTCTGCAGGACTGACAGGATGGGCGTTCGGGCTGGCAGGAGAAGCTGAGGGACCTGGACTGCTGGAGCTGCTGAAGAGGAGGCCCAGGGCTCTTGCTGCAACTGCTCCAAGGGTGGTTCCAGAGAATCACAGAATCAGCAAGGTTGGAAAAGACCTTGGAGATCATCAAGCCCAACCTGTGCCCTGACACGGCCTCGTCTCCCCTGAGCCTCCTCTTCTCCATGGTAAACAACCCAAGCTCCCTCAGCCACTCCTCACAGGACTTGTGTTCCAGACCCCTCACCAGCCTTGTTGCCCTTTTCTGGACACGCTCCAGCCCCTCCATGGCCTTCCTAAATTGGGCCCCAGAACTGGACACAGCACTCGAGGTGTGGCCTCACCAGTGCCGAGTGCAGGGGAAGAATCACTGCCCTGCTCCTGCTGGCCACACCATTCCTGATCCAGGCCAGGAGCCATTGGCCTTCTTGCCCACCTGGGGACACTGCTGCCTCATGTCCAGCCTGCTGTCCATCAGTGCCCCCAGGTCCCTTTCTGCCTGGCCGCTGTCCAGCCACTCTGTCCCCAGCCTGTAGCACTGCAGGGGGTGTTGTGGCCAAAGTGCAGGACCCGGCACTTGGTCTTGTTCAACCTCACCTTGTTGGATTTGGGCCCTGCATCCAGCCTTTCCAGGTCCCTCTGCAGAGCCCTCCTGCTCTCCAGCAGATCCACACTCACACCCAACTTGGTGTCATCTGCAAATTTCCTGATGCTGGACTTAGTTCCCTCATGTAGATCATCAGTGCAGATATTGAAATCCATGCTGGCTGGCTCTGATCCCTTGGCCATCCTGTGGGTGCCCTGGGATGGCACTCAAGGTGATCTGTTCCATAACCTTGCCGGGCACCCAGGTGAGGCTGACAAGCCTGGAGTTGCCCAGCTCCTCCTTCCAGCCCTTCTTGGGGATGGGCTCACATTGGCACCTCCAGTCCTCTGGGACCTCCCTGCTGAGCCAGCAATGATGGTGAATGATGGAGAGCAGCTTGGGGAGCTCATCCACCAGCTCCCTCATCCCCCTGGGATGGATGCCCTCTGCTCCCAGAGACACCTGTGAGCGTCTGAGTGGCTCAGCACGTTCCCAGCTGCTTCCTCCTGGATTACAGGGGGCTGTTCTGCTCCCTGTGCCCACTCACCATCTCAGGAGAACACTTGTCCTGAGGACAACCTGTCTTATTCTTGAAAACTGTGGGAAAGAAGTGGTTAGGTACCTCAGCCTTTCCCTCATATTCGGTAACCATATCTCCCCTAATAATGAATGGAGATTGTCTTTGTCCCTCCTTTTGCCATTAATGTATTTATAGAAACATTTTATTATCCTTCCCGGAGGTGGCCTGGTTAAACCTTAAGCATTTACCTCTCTTCTTTCTGCATCACCTAACAACATCCTTAAACATTTCCTGAATTACCTGCCTCTTTGTTCAAAGGTGATGCACCTTCTGTTTTGCCCCAAGTTCCTGCAATAGGCCCATCACATACAGAATGTCACCTGTTGGCTAAAGTACGCCTCAGAGGAGGAAAATACAAGAGTCTATAAATTGAAAGAAAGCAAGCAAACTAGGAAAGTAAAAGAAGAAAAGGCTGGGAATGGTAACAAAAACTGGGACCCCCTTGACCACTTACCTCCTCCTACCCTTACAGTACCTCAAATCCTTCCTCCAATTCCTCTTGCTGTGGAGCCAATTCCTCCTCCTCTCCCAGCTCTCATTCCTTTACCACCTCCTAACCCAGTTATACCTTCACCACCTTCCCCTCAACCCTCTCCTTACTCTCTTTACCCTTCACTGCTGTCCCCTTACCTCAACCATCTCATGCCCCCCTTATTCACCAGCAAGTTCCTGCTCTGCCTCCCCCACCACAAATGAGAAGCCAAACAACATCGCAGGATCTCTTGCCCAAGAGCGAAGTTACCCAGTCAGCCTCCACAGCTGATGTTTTACCACTTGGACCAAAGTGGCTAAAGTGGAAAAATTGTTCCCCCTCAGAGAAGTTCCCATGGCTGGGGTGGCCAGTGAGATTGGATTTGTAAACACTCCCTTGACTGCATCCGAAGTTAGAAACTTTAAGAAAGAATTGTGGAATTTAGTGGAAGACCCAGTAGGAATAGTAAATCAAATTGATCCATTTTTACCCCTAATATTTATACATGGGGAGAACTGAACTCCACCTTTAACATCCTATTTTCCCCAGAAGAGACTCGATTAATAAGAACTGCAGGAATGAACATTTGGGAGTGAGAAAACCAACCTGGGCCCCCAGGTGACCAAACAATGCCTTTAGTGGAGCCTGACTGGGACCCTAATCAAGAAGAGGGCAGAAGGAATATGAGAGATCACAGGTCCCTGATGACCAGAGGGATAAAAGAATCAGTCCCTAGAGGGAGTAATACCAGGTTAGCGTTTGACAGCACCCAGGAAAAAGACGAGACCCCAGCACCATGGCTTAATAGGCTAAAGCAAAACTTCCAGATTTACTCTGATGTTGACCCAGACAGCCCAGAAGGCCAATCTCGGGTTCCCTGTGGTCAGGGATGACCCCAAGAATCCTTTTATCCCAGCCTGGTGTTTCCAAGAAGCAGTCTGAATTCTTCGGCTGTGGTTTCCAAGGTTGTTTATTGTTTCTTATCTATAACATTTTTTCCCTGGCCTGTCAGATGTCAGACAGAAGCACACCCCCCATCCCAGGGCTGGTGTCTACATTTTATACTATGAACTATGTGTACTTTATTTTCAATATTTTCCAATACCTAAAGACACACAGCAGGGGACTTTCAGTATTAATCAAAACAAATGCACCTTTTATTGAGTGCCCACAGCAGATGTAACAGAAGGATTAGAAAGGAGATAAAGGACAGAGAGAGAGAGAGAAAGGAGGGTTGGGTAGGGGGAAATAGCTACCAAAAGAGAGATGAAATCCTTCTGGTCTGACCAATAGATCTGTCTGGTCACATCGGGGAGAATCTCACAGTCTTTGGTTAACTCAGAGGCCTTTTATAATTTATCGTCGTGAGGGGAGCAGGATGGCACATGGAGGGCACAGCGGAGAATAAATCCATTGGGAACAGGAACAGACAGTCCAGTTCTGAACAGCACAAACCGGTGCCAGCAGTGAGCAGGGCCTGTTGTTTCAGGACTGGTTCCTATGGGAAACCTCCCGCTTCCTATGGCAGACATCCCGCTCCAGTGAGGCCAGCACCCCTGGGTTAGAATTTTAAAGGTCTCATCTCAGTCCTTGGGGAGGGTTTAAATCTCTGTCCTTGATGGTGGTTGTGAGGCAGATGAGGGTTTTTTGGACCATATCTTACAGACAAACATCCCAAAGCATAAAAACAGTATGCATTTTCCAATAAAAATAAGTAATGAATGAATAAATGATAATTATTTTTCTAATGTATTTAGAGTAGTGTTATTCTATACTTGTATTACTGAATTTTATTATTTATATTTACAAATCCATACATTTTTAGCAAAGCAAAAAAGTTTTTGGTCATTGGTTCTTAGTAACACAATTCCCTTCA